TTTGCTCCCTCAGCTACAGATTTACTGCTAGCCACTCCAGCATTATAGCCTTAGACATAGCGTTTGGGGATACGCTATTTCTATCTATGGGCTGCTCTTTCAGGGTGCCACGAGAACCCCTAGAACGGTATTCAAGTGTGTGCACGTTATGCTTTGCCCACTTTCTAAAATCCACATAGCTGGTAAGTGTGCACGTTCTGCTTTGCCCACTTTTCTAAAATCCACATAAGTGGTAAGTGTGTACGTTATGCTCTGCCCACTTTTCTAAAATCCTGTATGGTAAGAGCTACACGCAACGACTTCGTGCTCTCTTTTAAAACCCCGGTTCCACCTTGGGCACCACTCCTCCTATCCTCTGGATACCTACTTAACAGGGTGTTGCTACTAAGGGTCTGTTGAGACTAGTATGACTAGTATGATTCTAGGCTCTTGGTCGTATTCCCTTAAAGGAATCTATTCCTGATTCCAAGCCTTGAGCTCTACCCCGGGCCCAGGAGTCTGGCTCTAACAGGTAAGTATTTTGGGGTATGTAGCCTAGGCCTTTGGCCGTAGGGAATAACATCACTGACAGCCATCAAACATCCCAGGGGCGACTCCCATAGCAATATGGTAGAGTTGGTACTTAGTGTTCGCCATGGTTCTGCCATGCACTCCCCTCAGCATGGTGGCGTGGGTATACCGTTCCCTATAGCAACCCCTAGAGGACGCAGTTCGAAGTTCCCATGAAAGGGAACATCTCAGGTTACTTATGTAACCATGGTTCCCTGAGTAGGGAACGAGACACTGCGTCCTCTAGGTTTCTTGCCATGCTGCGGACGCAAGCTTCAGACGAAGAAGTGAATGATGTGTGCTCCCGGCGCCTATTTTATAGTCGCACAGGTAGTGACGTCATGGCTGTCGCCGGCCAACGAGTTGGTGTTTTTTCAATGTATGCTTCAGACACAGGTCACAACGATGCGTTCCCTATAGCGACCCCTAGAGAACGCAGTGTCTCGTTCCCTACTCAGGGAACCATGGTTACATAAGTAACCTGAGACGTTTTCAACCAACAGTTGGGTTAAATGTTTAACCCAACCACTGGGTCAAAACAATCCAATCGCTGGGTTTGTCCATATTTTACCCAGCGCTGGGTTGTGTTTAACCCAGCATTTTTTAGAGTGTACCATTAATAGGTTATTACTCTCATTGTGAGCAAGTACTGTAATTCATGTTTTTGTGTGAAATGTCTCATCAAACTACACACAAAGCACATTTAATAAACCAACCTACAGGAGAGCAGGACAAAATTATAAATATTTTGAATGATTTATACACATTTTCTGCACGTCTATGTTCCTGCAGTGCTCAAAAGCATTTGTCTGGATTATACTCAGTATATTAATGACTGAGGGGATATCTAACGCTCTGTCATGAGCGACGGGCTTCAATAAACCCTGAGGCACAGCAATCAGACACATATCCATACATAATAATGAGAAAACCCTCTATATGAGAGAGAAAACAGATGAAATACGGCACCCGCAAAAAAGACTTAGACATTTCAAAATACAGTTTTTATTGTATTTTCCCATTGGATTTGGAGCGCAAGCTCAAAGTAAGAGAGAATGACAGAAAGCAGTGAATGATTCACACAAATATCTGAATTCTCCTTGTGTACTTTCTCACGTAACAGCTTCAGAAGTGGGCGGCACTGGCGCTCTCTCAGGAGAATGTCACTGTGGAGGCTGTTTTAATAGGGCCATACGATATTGCATCAATTCTATATAATTTATATCACAAAATTGGTTAAAGATGGTGAAACAAGACAGGTGTTTAACTATAGCATCAGAGAAAAAAATCCAACACATCACGCTGACAACAGTCATTCATAACCAGTGAATCTGTGCATCAAATATTCGGAGAAAAAAACCCAAACATCTTTATGTTATTAGGTCAGAGCATGTTGTCTATGGGCTGAATCATGCTGCTATATTTAGTATGTACTTCACAGCAGGTGCAGTGTATGTTTCGGCTCACCTATTCTGATAAAGCCGTCTTCTGTGCGCTGGTACTTCGGCGTCTTCTCTCTCCCCTCCTTCAGCGCTTCTTTCTCCGACTGAATATTCTGATAAAGAGGGACAAAAGTGTTGGGAGTGTTTCTGCGCATAACCCTCTTCTGTTCATTATCTCATCACATCTGTTCATCAGCCAGAAAAATACACATGCTCCCTGTTTTACAAGCCCGGAAGACTTTGCTAGAGTACACAGTCCAAAAATAGCAGAACTTTATCAACTGATTAGCCCAGAATCCAATTTTACTGTAAAAACCTATAAATCAACAGACATAAAGTGTTTTTTAAATATGGTATCTGTATTATAAGATTTGGTTTGCTATCATTTTTTTTATATATTAGAGCATATTACATCCTGTAAAAATTTGTGTTAGATAAGTTATCGTCTTATCACAAGGTGAGGGCAACACATTTATCTACAAATAAATATTTTCTTAATGTCGCATTATGAAGCTTGCACAAACTTACAGCTACTTTTATTGAGGTGAAAACTTTATATAGGGAAAAAACTGAGCTGCTGCCCTGCAAAATTATAAATAAAATTCAGTTATATTAGTTATATAAGCTATATTTTTCAGCAACAATGTGATAACATGACTGTTACTGAAGTCATTAAACACTGGTAATTCACACACACAATGTCTTTCTCAAATTCAGTCAAATAAATGTAAGAACTGTAGGTCTAAGGACCGTAAGTAAAATAACTACCATAACTATGTTTTCGGCAAATCTCTACATTGCGAGTAAATCGCTAAATCTTCACTCTGGGCGACTAAATTATGTCTAATATTAGCCAATGGCTAATAAATTCTCAGATTTTACTTGCCAGTTTGTGAGTTGGAAGCTAAGTATAAGTTAAGCACAGATATGTTTTCACTGAGCGCTTCAGAGTTTTAACTCTCCGTCAAGCGCTCTGATTCTGTGCTATTTTTCAGTTAATCTGAATGGATGCGCAGCGCACCTGTATTTAACGTACCGTAAACTCTAGTGTGAAGAGCACGACTCGCCGTCGCTTTGTCTCACACACACGGAGAGAGAGAAAGAGAGGGAGAGAGAGAATTGATGCGCTACATGTAAACAATATTCTTTGTTGTATTTTCCTGTCAAAATAACTAAGTTCCTTTGGAATTCTTCAGCTTTTAAAGGGGTCATATGATGCTTTTTTAAAGATCAATATTTTGTGTATTTGGTGTAACAGAATATGTTGACATGCTTTAATGTTCAAAAAACACATTATTTTTCAAATACTGTACATTATTGTAGGTCCTCTATGCCCCGCCTCTCTCAAACGCTTCGTTTTCTACAAATTCCCTCCTTCCGACAAGCGCAGTCTGCTCTGATTGGGCAGCTGACCCAGTGCATTGTGATTGGCCGAACACCGCAAGCACTCATCGGAAATGTACCATAATGTAACGGTCATCTATAAAATGCATTGCTGTTCTGTTGTAAGTGATCTTAAAGATTCCTAAATGCATCTACTTTCGGAAGGCCAAATAAAGTGCTTTTGCTTTCGCCTAGAATCACACAGTGTCTCCCTGACATGCTGCTTCAAGACTAACTGTGGTTACTGAAACCACGCCTTCTTTCTTTGTATGCACATTTTGGCGGCATTATGCTAATATTTCCACATAGTGAGGTAGATATGTGGGGGCGTGTTAGAACAAGCCGTTTTAGGGGGGCGTGGCAGAGTCTTAACTTTGATAAAGAATATCTCTTTGGTTTTGAGACTTTAGTCTTTGCAACTTCAGGGATCTTATCTATGCACAATCAGCTTGTAACACTCCAAAGAGAAAGGAAAACTTGAAATCGCATCATATGACCCCTTTAAGAACTGCCGGGTTTTCCGATAGTGGGCTGAACTTATGCACAAATGTCAATCTCATTGGCTGGCGCTCACCTATTATCGTCCCTGTTTTGATTTCTGCAAATCAGTTCGAGCAAACGCACACAACCTGATTAATATTCATGAATCCATCAGCTCATTAATCCTTAGTGCGTTTTATATTGTTCTTATTGGTTCTTAATGTATTATTATTTTATCCGTATTTTTTCTTAGTTATTTTTTCTGAATGACCAAAAAAGCAGCACCACCAGTCCGAAGTTCAGTTAAAATGACTAATATTCATTCATACATGGTTATCCTACTAAATACTGAGCAAAGGGTCTGAATACTTAGGACCATGTGATATTTCAGATTTTCTTTTTTAATAAATCTGCATAAATGTCAACAATTCTGTGTTTTTCTGTCAATATGGGGTGCTGTGTGTACATTAATGAGGAAAAAAAATTAACTTAAATGATTTTAGCAAATGGCTGCAATATAACAAAGAGTGAAAAATTTAAGGGGGTCTGAATACTTTCCGTACCCACTGTATATACACATTCATGAATACATACAGTGGGGGAAATATGTATTTGATCCCCTGCTGATTTTGTAAGTTTGCCCACTTACAAAGAAATTAAGGGTCTGTCATTTTTATGGTAGCTTTATTTTAAAGTATAGAGACAGAATACCAACCCAAAAATACAGAAAAAAACATTATATAAAGGTTAGAAATTGATTTGCATTTCAGTGAGTGAAATAAGTATTTGATCCCCAAGCAAAACACGACCCTTGTTGGCAAGCACAGAGGTAAGTAGTTGGTCACCAGGTTTGCACACATCTCAGGAGAGATTTTGATCTTCTCTTCTTTACAGATCTTCTCTAAATCCTTAAGGTATCTTGGCTGTCCTTTGGCATCTCGAAGTTTCAGCTCCCTCCACAGATTTTCTATAGGACTGAGGTCTGGAGACTGGCTAGGCCACTTCATTACCTTAATGTGCTTCTTCTTGAGCCACTCCTTTGTTGCCTTGGCGGTATGTTTCGGGTCATTGTCATGCTTGAAGACCCATCCATGACCCATTCAGTGTTCTGGCTGAGGGAAGGAGGTTCTCGTCCCAAGATTTTACAGTACATGGCCCGTCCATTTGCCCCTCAATGCGGTGAAGTCGTCCTGTACCCTTAGCAGAAAAACAGCCACAAAGCATAATGTTTCCAGCTCCGTGCTTGACTGTAGGGATGGTGTTTTAGGGGTCATTTCTCTCCCTCCAAACACGGCGGGTCGAGTTAATGCCAAAGAGCTAAATTTTGGTCTCATCTGACCACGGCACTTTCTCCAAAGCCTTCTCTGAATAATTTAGATGTTCTTTTGCAAACTTTAAACGGGCCTGTACACGTGCCTTCTTGAGCAGGGGGACCCTGCGGGCGCTGCAGGATTTCAGTCCATTGCGGCGTAGTGTGTTACCAATGGTTTGCTTGGTGACTGTGGTCCCAACTGCCTTAAGATCATTAACAAGCTCCTCCCGTGTAGTTCGGGGCTGATCCCGCACCTTTCTCAAGATCATCCTTACCCCATGAGGCGAGATCTTACACGGAGCTCCAGACCGAGACCGATTGATGGTGGTTTTGTATTTCTTCCATTTCCGAATATTTGCACCAACAGTTGTGTCCTTCTCACCAAGCTTCTTGCTGATGGTCTTGTAGCCCAAGCATTCCAGCCTTGTGCAGATCTACAATCTTGTCTCTGACATGCTTTGACAGCTCTTTGGTCTTGCTCATGGTGGTGGGAGAGGTTGGAATGGAAGATACAGATTTTGTTGACAGGTGTCTTATACACCTAACAAGCTGACATTAGGAGTAACTTCTTAAAGTGACAGGACTAATCTGTGTTCCACATGGGCACATAACCAGTCTGTGGGAGCCAGATATTTCACTCACTGAAATGCAAATCAATTTCTAACCTTTATATAATGTGTTCTGTCCCGTGTTCTGTATTTATACCGTCTGTGGAAGGTGTAGGACCATAAAATGTTTGTCCAATCAAAATGTTCGGTCTGAACATTACGATAGGCTGTTCTGCCTGCCTGTCAAATATGTATTTGCATACCTCTGTGCACCCTGTTTGCGCAGACATGATACATCATCAGTGCATTCCAGCGAGAGTGAAAGGCGCTATTATTGAAATATTATGTGTTTTGTACTGTAATGTTTTCTCACATAAGATAATCTGACAGCGCTGCACTCAACCCTCCACCAACGGCGTGTCTCATCGTGTCGCAGGTTAGTCTCTGGTTCTGCCTGAGCGCGGTCATGTGTTTTGAAGGAGGCTTTGCAAAGTGACTATGCAGGGAGGGTGGGGATCTTGTTTTCAATGCCAGCTTGCTATCGCTAGCCTACCTTAATATCTTTTTCGACTGAAGAAACAAAGACATGAACATCCTGGATGACATGGGGGTGAGTAAATTAGTAGGCAATTTTTATCCTGGAAGTGAACTAATCTTTTAAGTCATAGAATAACCTTACGTGAGTTACGTAACGTCTTTTTATATACAGCTATTCAAAACCCGAGGGTCAACTGTGTTGTTGAAAATGACCAGAATTGGAATCATTCTAGTTTGGGCAGAGAATAATGTAAACACAGATCGAGTCTTATATGGTCATTTGGATCTGTGCATTAAGCTATGCAGCATAAACACATCTTAATGTCTATGGTTATTTATGGAATTTAATTGTGTTTTTTTTTTATTAGAAACATTCCCATAGTCTAATATTGAAGGAGGGACACCAGCCATATCCAGAAACCAGATTATCAGAGAGTCTTAAGGGTGAACATCCAGCAGCCACCCAGAACATCCTAGCAATGCTCTGTCAACCACCCACAGCACTTTAAAACTGCAACCACGAGTTTTGCATGGACAAACACAACTCTGTTCTTCATCAAATTCACAAATCTAGTCTGGGCATCATTGAGCGGTTCTGTGTGAAACATGTGCCTTTTATTCTGTTGCATGCAATATCTTCGAGAGATCAGAGGCCATATTCCGTTATTAAAAATTTCAGTTTGGCAGAGAATCTTCTGAAGAGATATACTGAACCAATATGCGTTTCAGCCTTTCTGTCAAGATCAAATAAAAATGACAGCAAAAATAAAGCATGAAAGAAGCATTAACGAGAACTGATGCAGGGAGACTGTAGCCACAAGCTGACATTTACAGGGAGGAAGCTCTGAAGTGCCGTTCACAACACAGTAACAGTTGTTCCCGTGTAAGCAAACAGAGCTAGATATGGGGTGTACATATTGTGTCTGCATCCCTGGCAACTATAACTTCTGAAACAGGTCTTACGAGGCTTCTTCTTGGACCCAAACTCAGTGATATGACCCAAGAGAAGACAAATATGTTCAAAACCCCAGCAGAGCATCGCTCTAATTCCCCCAAACTGCATTAACAGCATAAAACAGACCACAAATAGTCTTTCCTCCAGGGCATTCCCTGCTAATTTCCTATATATGGCAGAATTCCATAAATGTCCTTAAAGGGAGCATTGCAAAGAAAGAAATGAGGAAAAAAAGCGAGATATAACAACCCGGCAGCAGGGAGGAGAAGCAAAAAGCAGTGAGAAGACGAGAGATATTACAGGGCGACAGGCTCTCGCTCTTAGAAAATCGTGCTATTAATCTTCCGGTGAACGTCCGTTTCCGGCTGTAATCTTAAATCACAGTGCTGCCCCTCGTCTGCTCTCCCTCGGGAGAAAATATTTTCTCCACGCCGACCGCACACACAGCAGGTCACATTTTATTACCGTGTGTCAGTACAGTTCCATTAGCTCATAAAACACAAGTATATCTTTATCTCCACTGCTGTGCCTTCCTCCTGCTTCCCCTGAACTCTCAGTCTGATGCCGTCGAGTTTGTGATGGAGCGATACAGTGAACTGCACCGAGAGAGAATGAGAATGAAGCCAGTCAGTTCTTATGACTCCCTTCTCCTGACAAAATAGTTTTTGACAAGAATTTGGTCTCCTGTCACTTATGTTTAGGCCTGTCATGATCATGAATTTTGTGCTGACAATTAATTTTCAAACAAAAAAATGTGATTTATGATTAACAATTTACATTGTAAGCCTATTTTAGAAAAAATATATTTTACTTGGAAACATATAATTAGGCCCATAAGATTTTCTTTAATATTTTAAAAGTTGAAATATTTATCTTTTTATTCTTGGCCCACTTTACATTCACACCCACAGTAAACCTTTAAAATGAAATAAAATATATATATATATAAAAAATAAACTATAAAAAATAAAGAATAAAATAAAATAAAATATTAAATAAAATAAAACCTACAAGCCTTTAAAGTTTTAGTCATTTTGTTGCGTGTCTGACATTTTTATTAGTCTTTGTTGTTTTTATATGTCTATATAGTTTTATAAATTTTTATATAAATTTTAGTTTTAGTTATTATATTATATGTTATATTTATTATGTGTTATTATAAATACACTATATATGGACAAAAGTATTGGGACACCCCCTTCTTTAGAACAGAAAAAAGCACTTCCAAAACTGTGGCAACAAACATGGACGCATAATTCATGTATTTAAAAATTGCATTTCCATCTCTGTTGCAACAGTTTTGAAAGAGTCTAAAATGACTGTTGCTGAAATTGTCAGCACACTGGAAAAAATCCAATCAGACCAAAAAAGGTCTATCAAAAATATATTTTTTATTTTCCATATGCAAAAGTGAAAAATTGACAAGACGAGCTGTCTTAAAAACAGAACAAAGAGCAGACGTTTCAGCCTTCCCTTTTTTGTCACTTTTTAAAAAAATATATATAGTTCAGTCATGAAACTCTAGATGGCGCAGGCTGACGGGTTGTTAACGTAACTGATGACATTCAGAGAGTTAAACGACTTGGCACAAGCTGATTGGTTCATGCTGCTTATGCAGCCAATGAGATTAGTGCCTTGCATTTATATGGCTGGCTAGCATTCACTTGAAATTCCTGCACCGCGCTTTCAGAGTTTCTCTTAAACCCTCCACCTTCCCCAGCTCCACCTGTATAGATCTGCTACGGGTTATTTTATATGCTATTTGTGCAGCAGCAGTATGTCTTAAATACTCACACCGTATCGCCATATGCATTGGCAGTAGCACGTTCCTGTACTTGCTTGCAGCAGCAGCAATAATCTACAACTACAGCAATTATCAACAGCAGCAGCAGCAATTCAGCAGCAGTGTAGCAGATCTATTCCGCCAAGACCAAATACATTAACATTGTCGTATCCATCACCATGCTAAAATCTTCCAAGAATTGTCATGATTGAAATAGACCTTTTTTGGTCTGATTGGATTTTTTTTCCAGTGTGCAGACAATTTCAGCTACCTGTTGGACTAAAACGTCCTCCTTTTTGCTCTGCGCATCTGAGAATTCATTGTTTTTTTCTTTTTGAGCACACACAATTCCTGTTTGAAAACGACTGTACCCATATGTACAAGTCATCTGTGTTTGGTGAAGAGGTTTTGGCTCAAGGTCTGCATTTAAAGTCACAGCAGAGGTGTTCAGCTGGGTTTCTGCAGACCGGTCAAGCTCTTCCACACTGACTCAATCAATCATTTCTTTTTTAACCTTGCCTCATACACAGAGGCATTGTCATGGTCATGTTACTGTTGGCATTTTCTTTACCCTTCTTATTGACTGCGTTAAATTCAAATAATTGCAATTAGATCAAATAACTGCGATCAGTCAATTGTGACAGGCCTTCTTACGTTTATAATTTTTGTGAATTCAGGGTCAAAATTGACACACATACAGTTTAGCCTTATTGTTTAAAAGTATCAGACTACAGAAGGCCATGACTGACCAATCAGAATCAGGTATTCCAGAGAGTTGTGTAATAACTACTATCTGCTGTTACACTAATATAGTCCTTACAAACAAACAGAGACCTACGAATCATGCATAATAACAGGAACATTGAACACAGCAGGTGATTTCAAGTCTGACAGTAATTGTCTGGAAATGCACTGCTGTAGGCGGCGAAAGTGGTTCTCTGAGAAACAGCATCTCCTTTGAAGCAAGAAAAAATTAAGGTGAAAATGTTTTTTTGACTCACTAGTCAACCTCACTAATAGACTAATACTGTTTTGGATACCTAGATGACCATCAACCATCCTGACTCATCTCTGGGTAAAACTGCTCAACTAGTGCCTACATAAGAAAAAGCCTTCTAAAGGCTGCTTAGCAAAATTTCATGGGCAAAATCCAGTCATTTTAATAGGAATCCACTCGATTGGGAGTTTCACATGAAAAAGTTACCCATGCAGATTTTGATTATGTTCAAGTTGGTCACTTATTAGACGACATTTATTTGAAATAGAAATGTTTAGTAATTGCTCTGCTTTTTCTAAGTTCTGTTTACTCTTGAGCATAGAGCTAAGAAGAACTTTGCAAGAGGAAATCGGACCTTTAAAAATTGAGCTAAGGTGCTCTCGGTGGTTGCAAGGATGTCCTCCACCTGCAGGCATGATTTGAGATATCAGTCATGTGGCATTTGAACAAACCCTTAACTCCAAGTATGGGCAATAATAATAGTGATGTTGCACATTTAAACAATTTCTAATCCAACTACAATAAATTCTGCTCTTGACATCTGGAACAATGCCAAAAAGTGTTTGTGATGGCATTATATTTTCAACCCTGACTGAAGTCTTGAGCTTGCTGAGATCTGTGGGGTGTTTATAGAGGCTGCAGTGAAGCGGTCTTCTCCTGCCCAGAGGGAAACACACAATCAAACAGCAGCGATCCTTCAACAAACACACTGCTAGTGTTCATCTGAACGCAATGACAGAGACTTACGTCGAAAGGAAGAACCTCCACTGTAGTGTTGAAGAGCTTGTCTCCAGGGTGCTCGATGTTTCCACTGCGGGAGAAATACCTACACACACACACACACACACACACGCACACACACACACACACACAAACACAAACATATCATCCAAACTATCAATCTTATAATTCCTTAAGGAGTACAACGCTAAAGAACTGTACTGCATATGTTTCCTCATATATCATCTTATCATGTAGTTATTTATAGACCCAGCAGCACACAGTGGCCCCAAAAAGTATTTAGACATTTACACCGTACAAAAGTTTGGTTTTTGAAAAGTTTTTGAAAGAAGACTCTTGCATTCAATTTATTTAATCAAAAAATATAGCAAAATCAGTAATATTGAAAAATGCATTGGAATTTAAAATGCCTCTTTTCTATTATAATATATTTTAAAATGTCATTTATTCCTGTGATGCAAAGCTGAATTTTACTCCAGGCTTCAGGGTCACATGATGCTTCAGAAAACATTCTAATATGCTGATGATCTGCTGCTCAAGAAACATTTTTATTTTACATTATTATCAGTGTGGAAGCCATCACTTTTTAAAGTATTCTTAGATTAATAGAAAGTTCAGAAGAACAACAATTATTTCAAACAAAAAGCTTGTAACATTAGAAATGCCTTTATTGTCACTTTTGATCAATTCAATGCATTCTTGCTAAATAAAATCAATAATTTATTTAAAAAATTCATACTCAGCCCACACTTCTGAACCATAGTGTCACACTAAAAAAAATGTCTGAATGTGTTTGCATTAAATAAAATATCAATTGAAGCGGCAATTTAAAGAACAACAAACTTTTAAATACTTTTGAATAAATAAAAATAAGTTTGTTGGGTTTGAAATAATAAACCAACAGATGTTGCGTATAAATGTATGACACTTTGTGGTTGTGAACCCTTAGTGCAATATCTTTATTCTGCAGTAAAATCAATGAAACTCTGGCTGATTAGGTCTCTACAAATAGAGTTCAAATAATGAATTCTGAGAAAACTCCAGTAGCATTTGAGCACAGATGACACCTGATAAAATGCCATCTAATGCAATGACTTTCATACATATTTAAGTGTCCAAAAACAATTTTCATCCTCCTCTATGGATCACTGAAACATGAGCAATCACAGACACTGGCGGATTTCTCTCTATAATTACACGTGCAAATGGACACCTGCGCTTGTTAGACTGTGACTCCTGTAGCAGGAAGGAAGCCAGTGAGTGATCGTCAAACGCTCTCATTCACACTGAGCACTATTAGCTCTCAATTAAGCCTGAAATATGCATGGACTTTCCATTAGGGTTAAAAATGCACGGATGACTGTGCCTCATGATGACTGATGCATTATCCAGCTGGTATGAGTCAGCGTGATGGGAAAGACTGGGAGACGAGCTCTATTACAAAACAGACAGCATGCTTTCTACTTCATTCATCGGCAGCAAGCTTCCAAGGTAAGGCTATGAAACCTCTAAATAGCCTCAAATAATTAATACCCAAACCTTTTCATCATTCGAACCCCTTAGGTGCAAAATATTTCCCTCTGAGATTTTAAGTTAATATTACAATAATTTAACAACACATGGTCACATGACATGCAGGCAAACAAATAATTCATGCGTTTTCAGTAAGAATTGTAGTTGTGATAGTGGCTGAGTATCAAAGATATTAGCAACTTTTCCTCTCTTCCTGGACTACATTTTAAGTATGTCATATGTACTCTTTACGCCACTATATTTCGGATGGCACCTAACTTTTTCTACAGCAGTTTATTGGAGGCACTAGATCTTGTTCATTTTACCCTTACACACCCAAACATGTCAACTTGTCTCTTTACATGAATGTGAGTGCATTAGCAGCTAGCTGCTGGATGCCAGGTGTTTTATAAAGGACATGACTGCAGCGATGAGGCCGAAACAGCAAGTCCAGTGCAAATTTCATTTTTTCTCAATATGAATATTGGCGTTGTGGACTAGTGCTTCTATGAGTCAATATTCAGTGTGAGTAAAATACTTAAATACTGTTAAAATCAGACACTCTATTGGAACTGGTGACTTGTAACTTTACAGTTACTTAATTAAATCAAAGCATTTGATTTGATAATTGCAATAAGGTATTATCCGAATTATTGTGCTGTGCCATTTATTTATTTTAATTTTAGCCTCAATATAACTCTTTATTAGTTTTCTATCAACTCACAAAATCCCTGTCTGCTACCTTCCACCAGCTAATGATATTTAGACCAGCTGGAAACCATCTACCATCTTCCAAAACACAGTTATCAGCCTAAAATGGATTTTCCAGTAGGGAGACACAGATACCGGGTATGATTTTCTGATTAAATTGGACTGTTCTTGATGCTTTTTGAAAGATGAAGATTGAATGAACTAACTTGGATGAATTTTTTTTAAGTGAACTCGTTGCAAGGCATTCTGGGACTGTCTTCTCTGCCATATCTTGACGTATGCAATGCTGCCTTTTTGGCTAAAAGATGGCATCTTAGAGAACAGCATAATCATTCAGTCTGCAGTTTGGCATTCATGAGGGTGTAACAGAGAGAAACCTGAGGCATTATGTGAGAATCGCTGTCTGTATGTACCTCTCTATCTTCCAAAACACAGTTATCAGCCTAAAATGGATTTTCCAGTAGGGAGACACAGATACCGGGTATGATTTTCTGATTAAATTGGACTGTTCTTGATGCTTTTTGAAAGATGAAGATTGAATGAACTAACTTGGATGAATTTTTTTTAAGTGAACTCGTTGCAAGGCATTCTGGGACTGTCTTCTCTGCCATATCTTGACGTATGCAATGCTGCCTTTTTGGCTAAAAGATGGCATCTTAGAGAACAGCATAATCATTCAGTCTGCAGTTTGACATTCATGAGGGTGTAACAGAGAGAAACCTGAGGCATTATGTGAGAATCGCTGTCTGCATGTACCTCTCTACTCGGACAGGTGTGAAGAAGCGGATGCGTATGAAGTCTCCCGCCACAGGTGTGAACGCCCAGAAGAAATCCTCTCCCAGATAGGCCTTCTCCAGCGTGAAATGCTGGTACGTCTTCAGACTGGTGGTGACCTCAGCTAGCGGGTTAGCGTGACCTTTATGCAACGTCTGCTTTCCGAAGTCCTTATCCTGACCAAAAAACAAAACCAAAAAACAGAAGGACTATATAAACGGTGTTTGGGTATTTCTTTAAATACAGGCACTTTATATCCTTTCAAACTTAAGATTTCAACCTTTTTTTGTTGTTATATAAAGTTACATTAAAAGTGTCTTGATACGTTTTTCATGCCTTCATCATTTTATTTTACTACCTTTCAAATGCCTTTAATTTTTCCAGATTTTCAGGCTACGTCCACATTAATCTGAGTAAATCTAGTCCAAACTAGCAGTTTCCAACAGTTGCTCGTCCAGAGCTGTAGAGAGAGAGAGTTGTGACAACCAGTTTTTTACAGCAATGGCGGATCGTGGAGCCGCTCAATAGTTCCCGGAAGTTAGCGCTCATACTATCAGCGCCGTAGAGATGCAGCAGAAGAGACCACTGTGATGAACTTTTAAAAGGTGTGACATTTATAGAATAAAATTGTATATTATCAGCACAGCTAATCAAATTACCCTGTGCATTAAAACAGATGATTATTAGATTATTCCTCACTTAATTAGTAGATTTACGGGATGTTATTCATTCTCTTCATGCGGTTTCATCCATCGTTGTGTAATGTAAAAGTGATTTTGCTGGTGGGGAGTTATTAAATAGACACACATATAATTATATTTATATAGAGAGGCTGAAGTTACCTTGGCAGAAGACCACGATGTCGTTTATATAGCAAACACGGACTTTTACCATTGTAACTAAAGCCTAAAATATGTTAACAAGGCAGGTAAGGATAGCTGACCACATTAATCCTCAAATATTAGAGGATTTTATCTTTTAAAAACAACACTAATATAACTACACCTATATATATATATACTACGTATACATTATTTTATAAATAATGTAAATAAATTATTTTATTGTCTACTAATTACCAAAAATCACAGTTCTGTCTCTCCAACTCAATGTATTTCAATTGCCCACTATGAACTTCCGGGAACTATTTGAGATCTACGTGAATCACGTGACGATCGAGCGTTTTGGACTTCCGTTGATGCAACTCTCTCTTTCCATGGCTCTGTGCTCGTCCACACTGAAACATTTGAATAGGGTCAAATCACCTTATTACACAAATGTGAAACATTATAAAAGCTCACTGAGATGATAATAAAAGACCAGACTTAAAGTGCCCCTATTATGGGTAATGAAAGGTGCATATTTTGGTTTTGGGAGTCACCAACAACAGGTTGACGTGCATGCAAGGTCAAAAAAACACTTTCATTGTCTTATAATATGCATTTATTTTTACCTTACTTTCTCAATGACTCCCAAATTATTTGCTCAACGATTCGTTTTTCAAAACCTCTACTTTGCGTGACGCTAGTCTGCGGTGATTGGTCTCAGTTTCAGTTCATCTCGCCTGTAATTCCTGATAATAAAGCAGGTTTGTGAGCGCAGTGCTGCTTTGTGTACAGCCTTACCGGGGAAACTGCTATTTTACCGCTCCAAAAGCGGCACCTAGTGGCAAAGAATGAATTTGCATTTTCATTCAGACCAATGCGAAAAACCAACAAAGTGGGCGGGCAATATGCTAATGTTTCATGTTGAGGTCAACATGAAATGGCTTGGGATTCGTTTTAAAAACGACTCGTTTCAATTTATTCAGAGTCGACTCTTTCTTTTAAGAGACAATAACTTTATACACTGTGCACTTTCAGATTTTAAACTTGGCAGGATGTTTTCATTCACTTAGAGCTGTGTTATACACTGCATGAAAGGTCATTTTCAAAAATCCATAATGGGGCACTTTAATAAAGTTCTCTCGCCATTCCTCTAGCATGATCATTTCATTAGCTAATTAACCCACCAAATATATCACAGGTGCTTCCATGTTCCACAACAAAACCATAACTTCATGTATGGACTAAACAGCATTTACTCTCTCTTTTTTTCCCCACAGGACATCAATTGCTAATAAATGTATTTGTCATCTTTGCAGAAATGTAATATGAAGATTAAAGAACTACATTAGTTAATGAAAAGTGAACTAAAAGTGAACAATATTTCTACAGCATTTATTAATCTTAGTTACACTTAGTTACAAAATAAAGGTGCTTCACGATGCCATAGAAGAACCTTTTTGTCTAAATGGTTCCATAAAGAACCTTTAACATCTGAAGAACCTTTCTGTTTCACAAAAGCTTCTTTGTGGCGAAAGAAGGTTCTTCAGATTATAAAAAAAATTGAGAAAGAGATGGTTCTGAATGGTTCTTCTATGGCATCGCTGTGAAGAACCTTTCAAGCATCTTTATTTTTAAGAGTGTAATGGTAATTTCTACATTTACTAAAGCATTTTTAAAATCTGTTAACATTAGTTAATGCACCGTGAACTAACATGAACAAACAACAAACTATTTTATTAACTAATATTAACAAAGGTTAATACATGCCGTAATATATATTGCTCAGTTTGTTCATGTTAAATAATACATTACCTAATGTTAACAAATGAAATTTTATATGGTACCTTATTTATTTATCCACATGGAAAAGCAAAACCTGAATCATCTCAGTGTGGATGAAAGTGCAATACATAGAGAAGGAAAAAAAATAAATTTCACATTTATCTGGATAAAAGTGGACGTAGCTTCACTAAAGTATTATTAAAATATTTAAACTTACATAAAAATATTTAGCTTTTTACAATCTACTTAAACAATTGCCAAAATGATATCAGAAACATAATGTTTCTGTCCAGTCCATAGGAACCCAGGCCTCCATTTTTTGTGGCGAGTGTGCAATGCCAAACAAACGTCAAACCACAAACTACAGTGCCAAAACGTGCCAAAGGTTGATATAAAAACATAAAAGAAGCCTAGAAAATGAATGACTAGAGACGAAGAATAAGAGCAGTGATTGAGGCAGGTATTATGATAAACGTAGGGCGAGCGCGGGGCCCTCAGGAAATGGACCGTCAGACGTATTCACCAGCCGAGAACAAAAATCAATACGACACAGAACAGGCGGGTCATACGAGCGCTCATCGCCATGGCAATTCCTAGCGCTCTTCATAAAGACAGAGCAGGGACACATGCTGATTTATTAGGATATGAGCTCTTATCAGCTGCCTTCTGGGTACTGTGATTTGCAATTTGGACAGTCTGAAGAGAAATGAACACAGTCCTGAGGCAGACCACTCTTCCGGAGGGTTACAAATGTATCAAATTATTACACACACATATAAAAAAAGAAAATCTTATACATTAAATAAATATATTTGGTAAAAAAAATAAAAAAATCACCTTGAGTTTCTGTATCTTTCCAGCGAGGGAGGAGTGTGTTCCAACATGCTGGAAGAGAGAGGGTTTAAAGCGGATGCGTAGGTTTGCTTTCTGCCTGTCACAATGTTTCTGTGGGACACAAAGAACATTTATATACATTATATAACAACTACTGTACATGCACTACTACAAACAGAAGTCTCAGATCAGAAACTATAATTATCCAATGATCGTTCTGGCCACATACTTAGAAATGTTAGAAACCGGAGATGCAGTCATATCTGATTATTTTTATTAAACCACCTTTCAGGCACCAGAGCGGAGAGAGACGGTTTCATCTCTGAACGAGTCGAGGCACAAACCTGTTTCTGTCAGATCTTTTACAAAATAAAGGTAACACTTTAGATTAGGGAACACTATTCACTATTAACTATAGTCATTTATTAGCATGCATATTACCAGCATATTGGCTGTTTATTAGTACTTATAAAGCACATATCAATGCCTTATTCTGCATGACCATCTAGCACCTCAGATGAGTGATCGCACTGCATTAAAGGGGTAGTTCACACAAAAATGAACATTCTGTCATCATTCACTCACCCTTATTTCATTCCAAACCCACAGGAGCGTCATTCATCTTCAATACACAAATGAAGATGTTTTAATCAAATCTGAGCACTGCAAGTCCACTATAGCAAAAATGTCAAGCTTCAAATAGTTCATAAACATCAAATCTTGAGCATCAAGCAAGCACACTTAAGCTTTTGTGATGATCAATTATTATAAAGCAACCATCTCTCTTCAGACGACTTCATTCATATGGATTCATTTTACACTGTCTTTTTGTACTTATTGAAGCGAGAATGTTTTTGATTGATGGATGTTCGAATGAGAAGTAAAAATCTCTCAGGTTTCATTAAAAATATATTTACTTGTGTTTCATTGATGAAGAAAAGTCCTATGGGTTTGGAATGACATGATGGTGAATAAATGACGATAGATTTTTTTTTTGGTGAATTATCGGTTACACTTTACTTGAAGGGGTGTGCATAAGACTGACATGACACCTTCATAATCATGACATGACACCTACATAATCATGACATGACACATATCATGAATATGAAGGTTTTTTATGCATGTTTATGACAACTGTCATTAAGTGTCATTCACTCAGTTATGTAATTTTTAGTGCAAAGCTGACATTGTTTGAGATGTCTTTGTTATGGGCTATGGTTAGGGGTAAGGGTAGGGGTAGGGTTAGGTCAAATAATGTCATATTTGCATTAAAAATGACATAACTGAGCGAATGACACTTAATGACAGTTGTCATAAACATGCATAAAAAACCTTCATATTCATGATATGTGTCATGTCATGATTATGTAGGTGTCATGTCATGATTATGAAGGTGTCATGTCAGTCTTATGCACACCCCTTCAAGTAAAGTGTTACCGAATTATCTATATAATAACTAGTTGTTGCATTCTGTTTGGTTTGCGCTCTTTGGATTTAATGTTGTGAATTGGGTTCTTCGATTTTTTTTTTTGTAGGAAGATTTATACATTATATCAGAATAAATAATTTGTTAACTTAAGGAAAAATAAAAAAGATGTTGCTAACTTGCACGATGTATAAATGTTGGAAAGTATTCAAAAATGGCAACTGTGTTGAGAGTTTTAGTGTCCAGTCAAACATGCTTGCCTCGTCCCTCAAGGTCATGTTACTATAAGTTAGTCGTTAGAAAGATCATTTATTGCTGATATTCCTATATGTTTACTACTGAAAACATCACAGTAAAATGGTCAAACATTTCTAACAAACCTGATAAAATGACAAAAAGATGAGATATTACTTGTTCTTAGAGTTCACTCCTGAAAGGATGATGATGCAATTACAATATATATATACAGTGGTGTGAAAAAATGTTGGCCCCCTTCCTGTTTTTTTTTTTTTTTGCATATTTGTCACACTTAAAAGATTCAACATCAAACAAATTTTAATATTACACAAAGATAATGCAAGTAAATACAAAATGCAGTTTTTAAATGATGATTTCTTTTATTAAGGGAAAAAAGCTGTCCAAACCTGCCTGGCCCTACGTGAAAAAGTAATTGCCCCCTAAATCTAATAACTGGTTGTGCCACGCTTTGCAGCAACAACTGCAATCAAGTGTTTGCGATAACTGGCAATGAGTCTTTCACATCGCTGTGGAGGAATTTTGGCCCACTCTTCTTTGCAGAATTGTTTTAATTCAGCCACATTGGAGGGTTTTCGAGCATGAATGGACTGTTTAAGCATCTCAATCAGATTTAAGTCCGGACTTTGATTTGGCCACTCCAAAACCTTCATTTAGTTTTTCTTGAGCCATTCAGAGGTGGACTTGCTGGTGTGTTTTGGATCATTGTCCAGCTACATAACCCAAGTGCGCTTGAGCTTGAGCTTGAGGTCTCAAACAGATGGCCGGACAATCTCCTTCAGGATTTTCTGATAGAGTGCAGAATTCATGGTTTGTATATATATATATATATATATAAAGCAAAATTGTATCATTCTTACCGCATCTTTTTCTGGATTGCACACCTTCACCCACATGATGTGGTCCAACAGCCAGTCAATGGGCTTGTCTTTGTAGAACATTAGCATGAACTCCACGATCAGCGGCAAGTCTAATGACTTGAACATTTTACCTGAAACGAGCAAAGCAGAGTCATGACTATCAACCAAACGAGACTAATAACATCAGCTGAAACACATTCACCCCTGAGGGAGTTTGTGGGCTTGCTGGACTGGAGTGAAAAATCAAAACTCATAAGGATTTACACTTTCAATAAGCATTTAAACAAGGAACTCAGGGGAGGAACGATGAAGGGCAAAAAACATTTAATGAAATCAAAAGGAAAGGGTGCTCGGAGAGTAATTAAATTTTTTCATATTAACGATTCAAGGCTCTTCTACAAAGGTGGTGCAGCAAGTAACTTTAGGTCTTCTACGTGGATTATACAATTTTTCTTAAAACATCAAATTTATTCAATTCATACAATGAAATTAGATCAGATTCAGGAGGATGGATGTTATTTTTCTCCATAGCAGCATTTTTATTGGCCTCTAATTAAGTCACAGAGGAACTGATGTGGCCATTTCTGCTGGCTTAGGGCGAACACTCAGCCAGTAAATCAGCTCGTTTTTGGTAATCTATAATAGATGAGACATCTGTTTTTTATGCATTATGAATTACTGTCCAACATCTACCACCCAGACAGTATCTGGCCCAGAAACATCCTGCCTCTCCAGATGTCAAAACACATCAGCTCTGATCTGACGGCGTCCACCGATCCATTTCATCTCACAGATCAGTGTTCATGGGCATGAAAACATGGCTCTGTTCCAAACAGCATACAGCCATACTAGTCTGTAGTGTGCAGTGTGCCAAAACCAGCAGTATACAGAGAACCGAAAAGTGAAGTGTGTAACATTAGTTTGAAATGTTAAAATACGTTCTCGAATTGCAGTCTATGAAGAGACAACTAAGTAAGCCATTCGTAGCCTGATGTCCCTGAAAAGTATACATATTGTGTTTCTGAGGCGTTACCAAAACTTTTCATGCTAGAACATTACTGAACAGTAGTTACCGTCTATAGAAGAATAGGACAACATTAAATAAAGAACATTAAATAACAATAAAATAAAATAAAAAATAGATCGATAGATTGTATAAAATCTAGATGCTACTAAAACATTGCATGTTTGTTTAAGCCTGACAAGCCTAACATGGCAACACACTCAGCCAATAGCATGAGATGATTAGCCTATGGAAGATGGGGAGAGTGTTCAGGGAAACCTTCATGAAAACTGTTATTTTTGCAGTTCTGTTCAAAATTGACACACTTTAGCTTTAATGAAAAGCTGTTTATTCAGAAGATTTTAAATCGAAGCCACTGAATAAAGTATGAGAAATATGACCATGTAGCATAAAAAAGTTGGAATCATTTATAGTTGCAGGCTGTTTCATATATTATAGTATTTGTAAAACAGTAGTTAGAACACAATATGCTATACATTATGCATGAAAAAAAAATTGATGATCGCCCATTCTGAACACACACCAGTTCAACTCGGAGGAGAACATTAAATAACAATAAAATAAAATAAAAAATAGATCGATAGATTGTATAAAATCTAGATGCTACTAAAACATTGCATGTTTGTTTAAGCCTGACAAGCCTAACATGGCAACACACTCAGCCAATAGCATGAGATGATTAGCCTATGGAAGATGGGGAGAGTGTTCAGGGAAACCTTCATGAAAACTGTTATTTTTGCAGTTCTGTTCAAAATTGACACACTTTAGCTTTAATGAAAAGCTGTTTATTCAGAAGATTTTAAATCGAAGCCACTGAATAAAGTATGAGAAATATGACCATGTAGCATAAAAAAGTTGGAATCATTTATAGTTGCAGGCTGTTTCATATTATAGTATTTGTAAAACAGTAGCTAGAACACAATATGCTATACATTATGCATGAAAAAAAAATTGATGATCGCCCATTCTGAACACACACCAGTTCAACTCGGAGATACATTGCTTATTAAAAAGATTCTATTTTAAAAAATCAATTTACAACTGAAATACAAAGCTGATTTTAATGGATGTTTCATAATTAACAAGCACCTATGTGCATGTTTAGAGGTTACAGGGAAGGTAGAGAGGTTTGGTAGGGTTTAGTGAGTAGTTTAGTATCATCAGTAGGATCAATCATCAGTGAATGACCCACCCACAGGCTAACATTGACCATTAGCGCTGGAGTATTGATCTGAGTAAACACACACACACACACACACACACACACACACACACATCCACACACAATTAATGAACACTGAAAACACAAGTCAAACAGAATGCTATCCAGACACAATGACTTAAGATCAATAATTAATTATAATAAATATTTCAAGAAATAAATGTATACACTTCAATAAATTCTTAACAGATCTTTTACAAAATAAAGGTAACACTTTAGATTAGGGAACACTATTCACTATTAACTATAGTTGTTTATTAGCATGCATATTACCAGCATATTGGCTGTTTATTAGTACTTATAAAGCACATATCAATGCCTTATTCTGCATGACCATATTCTAGATCACTAAATCTGACCCCACACCTTAACATAACTACTACAACAACTACTTTAATTAGGACTTCATTAAGGAAAAGCCCTTAATAGTGAATATGTTTTCCCTAATCTAAAATGTTATTAAAATAAATAATAAATTAATGTAATAACTACATTTTTAATGGACTTTGCTACATCGCTGAAGTCACAAACCTGCATGCTTGAATATATTCCATATTACGAATGTAAAATGGGATGTGAACAGCATTTCAGTTTGACTACAGCAGTGAAACGTGTGAAGTTTAGCTGGTCTATGGTCTGGTTTGCCCCTGCTGGTAGCTAAATGAACGGAATCTTATGTGGACAAAAAGCATTTCCATTGATGTTCATTCAAAAGCATGTTAATTTACTAAATTATATTTACATTTGGCCTACCAATGGCTTAAAGCTAACTTTCTCATTTGCAAGTTTTTTAATGTCCAAACAACTACACTCCTCGCAGTTAACATTGTGGTTAAAACTCTTGACTTACACAAGGAAGACATAGTAAAAAAACATGAATGACCCAGGAATCTCTACTACATATTTCTGTATCAGGAATATCTCTCTCCATCTGAAAAATGCAATGCAAGACATGCTTGAAGGTAATCTGAAATACATGCAAACAAGCTATATTTGTTATGTGTGTGTGTTTTTTTTTAAAGAAATCTCTAGCCAAAGCTGCATTTATTTAATCTATTATTATTATTATTATTATTATTATAAATATTATGGTTTTATTTATATAACATATCTTTTTAATTTGAATATATTTTAAAATGTAATTTATTCCTGTTATGGTAAAGCTGAATTTTCAGCATCCATCATTTTAATATGCTGATTTACTGATTCTTATTATCATCAAAAGTTTTTGCTGCTTAATATTTCTATAGAAACCATGATACCTTTTTTCCCTCAAACTTTTGAATATCATGGTTACCACAAAAACATTAACAAAAACTGCTTTCAATATTGATAATAATAAGAACCATCATTAATAGCAAATCAACATATTAGAATGATGGATGCTGAAAATTCAGCTTTGCCATCACATTAATAAATTACATTCTATAATATATTCAAATGAAAAACGTAATTATAATATTTCACAATGTTACTGTTTTACTGTATTTTGATCAAATAAATGGAGCCTTGGCAAGCATTAGATATTTCTTTCAAAAGCATAAAAAATATCATAATTATTCCAAACTTTTTGCCGAATATAAATATTCATGATTAGTATATACATTATGTGCTGTATATACATGCTCTCACACACACATATATACACAGATACACATGTGTGTGCACAAAAACACAATGTATAAACACAAAACAGTCCAATAGTTTTAAATACCCAGCAGTATTTACATTTAGTCATTTAGCAGATGCTTTTATCCAAAGCGACTTACAAATGAGGACAATAGAAGCAAACAAAACGAACAAAAGAGCAATGATATGTAAGTGCAAATGACAAGTCTCGGTTAGCCTAGCGCAGTACACGTAGCAAGGTATTTATATATATATATATATATAATTAATATATTTAAGTCTAATGCAGTGACATACATGTGAATCTACACGTTTCTTCTCAGGAAAGGTGGTGGATGTATTATTAGCCGGCTGCTGGGGTAAATGCCACTTGCTTGCCACTCGGGCAATGTGCACTTTCTTTAGGCAGCACTGGCAGAAAAGTTTCTGCCAAGAACATGAATGTAACGCCAATGTAAAGAGCGTATGTGTGTTTACATTAGTGTGTGTGTGCATGTGCGAACAGCTCGGTCACGGCTGCCTTCCTGCTACCACTCCAATTAGCAGCTTGTGCGGACAGGCAGAGCGAGGCATGATCCGCTGCAGAAGAGAGCCGCAATGCTGACTGACAGCAGGAAAAGAGAGATTCATCCAGACGGATTTGTCACGCCTGCAATCCCTGAGCTAAAACAGGCCGACTCCACGCTGGAAAGATCTTAGCGTTCACAACAGGACACTGGAAAGATCTTAGCGTTCACACTGTGATAGCAGGGGAAATCACTGAAATATGAATTTTGAGAGACGATACTGACAAAAACATCTGATGTATGCGTTTATGTATTTAGGGCGGTTTGCTAAGGCAAACATACTGCTGTTGCTCATACTCATAATGCTCAGGGACTTTATAAAAAACATTGAGGATATGTATTAAACTTTGGTGCATTACTCATTCTGTAGGCCTAGTGTTTTTATTCAATTTATGAAGGTGCTGTAAGTTAAAGCATTATATATTTTATTATAATTGTACAATACTATCATATTTTGTACATGCAACTTAGCTTTAACAAATTTACCATTAATACAGATGCTGCATCCAACTAACTTTCCGTACCCACTGTATATATATAGTTCAGTCATGAAACTCTAGATGGCGCAGGCGACAGGTTGTTAACATAGCTGATGATATTCAGAGAGTTAAATGACTTGGCACAAGCTGATTGGTTCATGCTGCATATGCAGGCAATGCGCTTACTGCCTTGCATTTATATGGCTGGCTA